GTGATGAAGCAGATACCTTACTATGCAACCATGTTGGACTTTCTGGTAGGATAAATATGATGAGCAATATACCCGGAATCAAAAGTAAAGCACATACAGTACTGGCAGATCTCCAATTGGGAAATAGCATACAAATCAGGGTTAAGACAATACGAGCAATGCCCTGAATCACCACTTTTCTACAATCTAGAAGGGAAAAGGGTTCAAACTTACCCAGTTGAACACTCCCCGCATGAACATGCGCTGATGAGGAAGAAGAAGTTCGGTAACATAGGTAGCAAGTGTGACACTGGCACCACCGACGAAAAAGCCAACAAAGAAGTGCGAAGCGTGCAAAATTTGCCAAGACGGGGAAAAACCTTAATAACGAAATTAATTCTCTTGATTTTCCACACATTGGCGATCTACACATCAGGTTTAGATTTGTACTGAAGAATTTCTGCCTAACGATCCAAAAATCAGACTGAAATTGGACTATTTTTTAAAGCGTTTAGAAAGCACTATTCAGTGATTATATTATTTTTATGGAAGTCAGCAAACTATAAACTTCTGGAAGAAAAACTCGGATATTTGTAAGCCACCTGCTGAAAGATTTGCAAGAAAACCAGCTGTCAGTGTTCCTATAGATACCGGTTTCCTTCCAAAGGTATCTGCTAGAGTGCCAAATAGCAAGGTTCCTGAAAAATAAAACCTATAAAAAATATCAAAAACTGAAGCTTTTAAACCAACCAAAAAGCACTCCGAAAAATTGGATTTGCGAGAAAGCCGACATTAGGTAGGTGTTTTCATTGCAAATCCAGTCAAATCTGAAACTCCTTTTTTGGCAAACGTTTTCAGGTGAGAAATAGAAAATTACTCTACTGCTGCCGATTGAAAGTATTCCTCGTGAAATGTCAGATTATTTTTACATGTTCTATATACCTCACAGTCTCGTGTAATGGGTCCATCTCCTAAAAAAAGCTCTACAATCCGTGCAATGTCTCAAAATAAATCTATTGAAAACC